TACTAGATGAACAAGATACGTATTAATTATGTAAACTGAGCTGCAGAGGAGTGAAATATATTGCCGAAAGGCCAAGCTCAGGCACAACCCAGCAGTCCTGCCTCCTGGAACAACCATCTTTCTGCCTCCTGGCAACAACCTCTAGGCTTTTGGGTGCAGGGACCACCTTTGTGCCCTGCACTTTGCAAAGCAGGACCCTGCCATATGCCTGGGACACCCAGGTCCTAATGCACTACGAACACACAATAGCAGTGATCCAAAAATAAAGCATGGAGCGTGCTGAAAGAGCAGCGTGAGGTCTCGGGAGGGATAGGAAATCCGGCAGAAAGTGAGTCAGAGCATCAGGAATGAGCCAGCTGAACACATAGATATGCTAGAGCGGTCGAGCAAAGCTTTTTGAGAACGTACATGCTTCACTCGGTCAAACAGAACTGCCTGCACAGAAATGACCACACCTTCTATGAAAAGCCGTTCTAATTAAAACCAGAATGTGGCCTTTTTTGATGCAAACTGTTGCTCTAGCCGAACCGCAGCCCATTTGCAACATTCAAATTCCCTCCTAGCTCAAAGACAAGGAAACAGGGAACACCATTCCCCTCTCTATCTTCCATCACTATTTGTCTCTCTGGTTTGTACAGCACTGACACATGGTGTGGAGAACTCAAAATCAAAGCAGGTCATGTTGCTAGAGCTGCCATCATTGGTGCTTCTGGGAGCAAAGCTGCAGGGATGGACGAGGGGTGGGTGCTGACGCAGTAGTTTTACTTCTAGGATCTTCAGGAGACCTGGGGCCTCCTGGAGACACAGCCTGTTCTGGTCTGTGCCACAGTTACAGCCCTGGCTAAGGACACAAGAGCCGGTCGGGAAAGAAGGAAAGCAAAAGTCAAGACAGAAAGAAAAAGAAGAGATTTGCATTTGGTTTCACACCACTGAGAGGACAAAATGAGCGTTTCAAACCCTTCTGGCTCAATGAAAGAACACAAAAAGAAGGAGAAGTAGTAACTATATATACTCCAAGTGGTCTCTGATGAGACCAAAGGCTAAGGTAACAGTGGTGGGGAGCCAAACCACTTGAATTAATACATTGCTCATAGTGAAGATGATCAAAAGCGTAGGGTCATCTACAAGCACCACATTGCACACACTGCAGTTCCCTTTTCTAACAAACATTTGCTGCATCTGATTTTTTTTTCTGTTAAATACATGAGTTTGCTATGCAACATCTCTGCTGATCGGCAGTCTGATTAACCACTGCACATGCATCTGCTTCATCTTCCTCCTCCCCATTACAGACTACTCAGCACCAAAAATACTTTGGAGACGCTATCTCAGACTCACCATTTGAGCGCCAGATGCAGTTAGATAATTACCATTTAAATAATGACAAACTTTTTTTTTTTCCTAAAATAAGAAGCACATAAGATGACACAAGAACTTGAGGAACAAAATCATATTCAGGCAAATTGGTAGCATTCAAATAACAGATACATGCCCGTTTATTTGCTTAGGACAAGACCTAACGCCACATTTCACACCGAATCTCTGCCAACCACTCTAGGTCTTGTTGGATCTGAGGGCCTCACAGTGTGTAACACGTTTGTCCTCGTATTGCTGTTGTCACACGCCCCTTGTCTCTCTGTGCTGCACATGGGGAACTGTGGCACACAGCAGTGGAGTTCCCCAAGGCTATGCAGGAAGCCTGTGGCTTTGTAGCATGATCCATGTCCCAGGCAACCCATGGGATGGCCAAGTGTCCTAAGCCCTCGGCCATCCTCTCTCTGGATCCTGGTCCTATAAAAGCCGACTGTATATTCCTGTCAGTTTCAATGGGTTTGGGATGGTGCTGCAAGGGTTTGCTGGCCAAATTCTCATGAATAGGCCCTTCTCCTAGGGAGGCTTCTTTACACTATTCGGTATCAAAAAATTATGATATTTTTGTCAGAGAAAAGACTGACATGCTGCATATACCTTCCGTCCACTCCTACCTTCAACAGGTCAACATAGGTGACCTCTCTTCCAGAAAGGGAAAGAGACCCAAATCCAACCCAAAATCTGTGGACATGGGCAGACATATGCGAGGCAAGGTCTAACCTGAGTCTATCTCCCTTACAGTTCTATTTGCAAATCCAACCTGCACCACGTTCAGTGATTACTAAAGTCCTCTTCCTAGTAACCACACAACCACGTTCACGAGATTTGTCAATTCTGTCTGTGAGGGGAAAGAAGCTGAGAAGCTGGGAGGGAGCTGTGGTCTGCTTGGATGGGCTCGCCCTAAGGTAGAACAGAAAAGAGGAGGTAGGGACAAATAGCTCCTTCAAAAAACAAATGAGAAATCCCTACATCTGCAGTGCAGTCACAGATGAGCTACAGACATGCTAAAGATATCTTTAAGTTGTTTATAGAGAGTTTATGGTAGTTTATGGAAGTAGCTACCAGCTGAGTAGCTACTGTACCCAGAGGTTTTTAGCAAACGGCAAGATTCACCCAAGAAGATAGGTGAACACTTGGGCCATCACCTGCTTTGAAGTCCAGTGCTCTTTTGTCTGCACTGCCGCTGCTATGCAACCTATAGAGCTCAAAAGCCTGTGAGCTGTGATCATGGTGTGACTGCAACCCCTTGGTGGAGGTGGAAGAGCCGAGATCTTCACAGGCAGGAGGCAAGGGGAGATCAGGTGTGCTGTGTGTCCTGCTCCATGTGCCTCACGGAACAGTGAGGCTCTGGGCAAAGAGCAAACCGTGACCTCAGAAACAAGACCAAACTCTTCTACAGCAGAGCAGGTAAGAAAACAGCTCGGGAAGGGTCCTGCCAGCAGTGGCAGCAGTTGAATGCAAGAATCAAAGAG